GTCAGGTGTGTGTTTAACTATCAATGCCCAATTTAAGAGTATTTTAGAATTAAAAATGAATTTATTTGGGTTTTTATGGTATTCTTAGGTGTTTTCACATGGGCCCGGCCCCCCCCCGTAAACCAAAAAAAAAAAAAATACAAAAAAGCAAGAAGGCTAGATATAAAAATCTAGCATTGCAGACCCACTCACATCTAGGCTTATTTGAGTTGGGTCAGGTGTGTGTTTAACTATCAATGCCCAATTTAAGAGTATTTTAGAATTAAAAATGAATTTATTTGGGTTTTTATGGTATTCTTAGGTGTTTTCACATGAAATTTTAATTGAAAATAGGTTTTTGAGACATAAAAACTTAGACCCCAACTTCATGGCCATCAAATCTTTACTAGTAGATAACATGTTACCTATTTATTTAGAAAAAAAAGGTCGTTCACTTTATTAAAAATAAAAAAACAAAATTGTAAAACTAAAATAGTTAGCATTACAAACCCACTTAAGCTTATTTGAGTTGGGCTGAGTTGGGTTAGGTTGTGTGCCTAACTATCAATATCCAATTGCTTAGTTTCTTTTCATACAACACTTTATTTTAAAATCTAAAAACTTAGACCCCAACTTCATGGCCATCAAATCTTTACTAGTAGATAACATGTTACCTATTTATTTAGAAAAAAAAGGTCATTCACTTTATTAAAAAAAAAAAACAAAAAAAACAAAATTGCAAAACTAAAATAGTTAGCATTACAAACCCACTTAAGCTTATTTGAGTTGGGATAGGTTTTGTGCCTACCTATCAATATCCAAGTGCTTAGTTCTTTTCATACAACACTTTATTTTAAAAAAATCTTAATTTTTAACTAAAATTCTATATATATATATTTATATATATATGCATATGCTAAATGTTATTTTTGTTTTCAAATAAGATTATAGTATTTTTTTATATAATATTAGCAATCATTTTATTAATTATTATATATGAATCTAATATGCAAATTCTTTTAAATATGTGATGATGAAAATTATAAAAAAAATATTTTATTATATTTCATAATATTTTCTTAGATTAATTATTTTCCACTCCAAGACATGATTCTCAATGCTTTTTTATTAAAAAAAAACTTGATTTTCATATTATGATAAGTATTTTAACTTATAAAATATTTATGATAAAAAAAAAGTTTTAATTAAAGAAAAAAGGAGTGCATTAAAAAGGAGTTCATTAAAGAGATACACTTTTTTTCATACATATTTTTAATTATTCAATTTTTTTAATATTTAAATTCACATTAATTTTAATTTAAAAAAACATGCTACTAATAAAATGATATTTTGATAAAAAAAATGCTTGAATAATTTGTTTAATAAAAAAACATTTATTTTGAAAAAATTAAATCATAATTTTTCACACAAATATCTATTTTGATTATAATAAAAACCAAATAAAATAAAATTTGAAAACACCCCCTCAGCATTGTGCAGTTAAATAACGAGTTACGGTCTATTTGTGAAATAAGATGTAAATATTTTACACTAAATTCGCAATTATTTATTAAGAATCCATTGTTGCGCTATCAAATCTTCAATATTTGTTTTTTTTTTAGTGATTTTATTATGGGTTTTTGAGGGGAAAATTCTAAATATTGGAGAGCATTTCTAGATTCTCTCCACCTTCCTTGCTTTCGGTACAGATATTAAAAAAATATTATTACATTTAAAAGATAAAAAATAGATAAATAAATACATTATTATTATTATTATTATTATTATTATAGAGAAAATCCCGCCCTGGGATTCCCTTACCAACAAGCACAGCCAACTTGACAGAAACAACCTTGTATGTTACTTACCAAATCAGTATATCTGGAAGCTTAAATTTAAACTTAATCTATAGTAGTTGTTTTGCTCCTTAATTAAAAGTAATCAACTGGCTAATATACGCACTTATTTTCATTTAAACCAGTGTTTTATTGACTAATTCAGCAGGGGAAGAAAAAAAAAAAAGAGTGGGTCCCATTGTAGTATGAGAAGGATTAATTTTCTTAGGTTCTGGTAGATAATTAATAATACCCTTCCATTTAGGGTATGCTAGGAAAATAATATTTAAATAATATTTTTTTAATATTATTATAAAATTTAATTCAATGCTAGAGAAATAATATTTAAATTTGATGTAATTGAAAGATAAAATTAAATAAAAATCTCATATTTCATAATGATATTAAAACAAAAAAATAAAAATAAAAAAGGGGTAAGAAAAACCAAAAGAATAAAAAACTCCACATGTGGATTTGGAAGAGAAAAAACCAGAAGATTAAAAAAAAAAGTAAAAAAACTTTTATTATATGATAAAAAAACATAAAAAATTATTTATTATCAATTTAATATTGAAAGATAAAATTAAATAAAATTTCATATTAAATGGTAAAATAAAAATAAAAATAAAAATAATAAGTAAAAAACAGAAAAAATAAAAATATTATATTAAAAAAATAACTCAAAAAAGAAAAAAAAAAGAATGGAACTCAAAGACTAATTAAAAGAAAAAACCCTAACAAATGTGCATGAAGGAGGCATGGAACTCAAAGACTAATTAAAAAAACAAACCCTAACAAATGTGCATGAAGGAGGCTAATGCGCCTGGGGTTTATTTCTTTTCTTTTTATAAAACACAAATGACATATATATATATATATATATATATATATATATATATATCACGAACAAAA